AGTAGCTATTTGTTCCTAGTAGTAATGCCAGGAGCTACTAGTAGCTTTTTGCTACTAGTAGTAAGGCTATTGCTACTAGTAGTGATGCACTTGATACTACCCAATTTCGCCAAATGTAAGGTCTTAAACGACTTCTACGAGTTCCGCTTCGAGCCGGTGAGTGTTCCGCACGGACCTCGAATCACTGGCATGCCCGAAACATCTAAAGCTGCTGCAAGTACGCCCATGCAGTTTATTAGGATAGTAATAGTAAGTAATATTTCTTCAATTTTGTGTACGCGTGCCGACCATGACCATTCTCCACTCAGAGTCAAGGATAATGCATTGCCTAGAGAACGAACGCAAAAGTCACCGCTGTGTTGCATAGTCTTGCTGTACTGTACTGTTTTGGGGCGCAACATGTTTGGGGCTCATTCAGGCCAAGCAACCTGGTGGACGACCTCCGCAAATTGATCAACAATCCGTCGTTCGCGGACGCAGGGGGCTCCCGGACCAAACAGATCGAAGGAACTTTGTTGTTGGGAGAAGGCTGCGATTCTACGCTCAAACGGATTGACGACATTTTGCGAGAATGGGCATGAGGAAGATGATGGTTCACACGGTTCAAGAAGATGGCCCTGGGACTGAGGTCACATTCGTCGTAGAGAATCAAGCAGTTTACGCCACGTCCTTGCCTCAAACTTCCGGAACCAAGCGGGTTTCATTGGCCGCGAAGAAGTATCATTTTTTGAAAGAGCTGAGCTAACTGAAACAAATTAGACTTACTAAAGCCTGTTTCACTTGCTTCCGTGTTGGGTTGAAAGATGCTACTTGTATCAGACAAGACCAGCAGCAGATTTCACATGTAATTACTCATTTAACTAGTTGCCTCCTAGAACTATCCTGTCACTATCAATGTGCACTTGCTTTTTCGATCTTTTTCGCCCATTTGTTTCGGCAGCCTGGCGCCTGAATACTGGCATATTTGGGCAAAAGGACACTCAAGCAATCAATACAACCTGGCCGGCACTTCAATGCTTTGGATCCGTAGAATTTCATAGAACCCATAAACCCCACGAACCTCCTGCGAGCAATGTTCTCCATCCAACCGGCCCTAGTTTTCAAGAGACATCTTCCAGCTTCAGTACATGTTTATGACCAAATGCTACGCCATTACATTCTGTGTCACCATGTATGTCCGCGTACCATCTCCCAGTCCTGCAAGGCGTGCGCACCTGGCAGCGCGCTCGGAGCACTTCCGGGCGCTCTTCTATGGTGGCATGCGCGAGTCGTCCGGGAGACCCAGAAGTGAGGAGAGTGAGGAGAGGAGATGAATGGAGATGGGACTGATGGGACTGTGAGGTGGGAGAGGATATGGGAGGATCCATTGGAGTGGAAGATACTAGGCATGTTGCTGAATTCAGATTTCAAGGTGCAGACACAGTGATGAAATCTGGCGAACCGTAAATGTTTCACCATGTGTTACCAGTATGCAAGATCAACTGGATTTTGTTGGGATCAATCCAGTTGACACTAAGGTTGCTTAAAATTGTGGTGTAGGCAGTATTCCACGGTGCACGACACATACTCTCTCTCTATATATACACATAAAGGTATGCTGCTATGAAGCTTAGCTAAGGTTGTGGGTTTTGTTTCGATCCCATAATTGATGTGTTGTAATATAATGTAATATGTTTTTTTTTTTTAAATAGCTTTAACTATGGGGCTACTTGCAGTGACTTACTTGCTGTATTTTGTTCCTATTGGAGTCCTGTCTCGTTTGCGTGGGCAGGTCTGATGCCGGAGAACAAATCGTGCTCCAAGACGTGACATTCCTAGCTCCAAAAAGGCTCAAAAAAGGCTTTGCCTCCAAGAACTCATTCCAAGTCTCCAGAGTACTATTCTTCTTGTGAGATATTCCCATGACTTGTGACGTAACGTGTGTGCAACAGATATGTGATGATTTATGCAGAGCTGGAACACCCTTGGATTTTTAATTTATCCTTTGAGATGTTTGTCCTTTTACCGCTTTGACTACATTCATGTGGATCTAAGTTGGCGCACCCCGTGTTTCTTTTGCTGTTGGAGTCCGAAGCCCAGAAGATGTGAGCGTTTGCTTGTTTACCCCACGAGCTTGCAGTTTCGGAGCATGCCAAAGTGCCAAAGCAAAGAACCCAAGGTACATCTACACTGACCAGGTTCGGCTGAGAATAAATGTAAGCTGAATGCACAAATGTTGGAAGGTTGCTTGCAAGAATGCATTCGATAGACTCATTCATACTCCTGATACTGACCTTCAAACAGTGTTGACGGATGAAGGACAGACCCCAGCCAACCTCGTTCTCACCCACGCAGTTAGAGACATTGCCAGGTTGGAGACATTTCCTCCGACCTGGCAGTTCATTTACTCATTGCTGCTGAACGCTTCCTGTTGGATCGTCTCAAGGCCGGGGCGACATGGGACATGTGCCAAGCTTTGGAACTGATGAAACGATTACTATAGAAAGCTTCTAGTAGCGTCCTTGCTCCTAGTAGCGATGCCAGGAGCTTCTTGTAGGGTCCTTGCTCCTAGTAGCGATGCCAGGAGCCCCTAGTAGCGTCCTTGCTCCTAGTAGTAAGTCCAGGAGCCCCTAATAGCTTCTAGTTACTTAGAAAGCTGTTTGTTCCCAAGAAACTTCAACGACATACTAAAAGGCTTCTTGTCACTACAGGTCTACAGGTGAAACGATTCCCAAGGTATTGTTTTTTTTCTTGAGGGGAACTTTGGCACCTTGCCTTTCATCAAGAGAAGCCTCATGCGATCCATGTCCTAGCATCCAGAGATCTCCGAAGCTTTGACATGCTGCCTTCGCACTTGCTGGGTCAAGTCACGCTTTCAGCGCATGTGCAGCAAGCGGCTGACTTTTCAGCATGTTCTTCTTAAAGAAGGCATCGGATTAGGTTGCCTTACGCGAGGTCTCCATGTGTTTTGGCTCGGAGTTTCCGGAGTTTGTAGCTGCAAGCCAGAAGCAATCCAACATGCACAATTCCGCAAAAGAACACTCCAGTCACTATTTGACTCGACACGATTCCCAAAGAGCATGCACCTTCTCCGAATCAAGCTTCAGCAATTTAGCAAGCCCACCCTCGAGAACACAATTTGACAGCTTAGTGTAGACACTGTCGACTTTTATGTTCTTTTGCACACCGTGAGAGTGTATCTCTCATGGCCACTCAGTGAGGGCGTGCTTTTGCTGCTTGTGCCTCAGTGACCTTAGTAACCTTAGTATCAACCAAAAGAAGCGTCGACATTGCATTGATGAACAGCTATTGAAGCTATTGTTATCGACGCTGACAGCTCTCGTCGCGTCGTAGCGTCGCTTGCAGTAGGTTTTGATGCCATGCCACGGTTCTTCGAGTACTGGGCGCAGGGCTTGGTCAAGACCACGGCTTTGGACATTGTCGTTGCATTGTTGTTGCAGACGGAACGTCCTGAGCCTCTGACAGAGTCTGACAGAGTGCAGCCGTTGCCTTTTTGATCTCACAATTAATTGAGGATCCAACAGCAACTCGTGTTTGGCGCTTGCCTCAATGATGTCTAGCTGACAAAGGACTGTTTTTGGAAGTTTTTTTTATTTTAGGCTTAAAGGTACTTACTTGGGAGACACTTTCTTTGTGCACGAGTTTCAGGCTGGTTTTCAGGAACAATGCCAATGCCTTCTTGATGCAAGAGGTGGGCTTGGGACATTGTCCGCTGGTGAGAACGTCTTCAGTGCCTTGACCTTGCAACGCAAACACTTATGTCATCAATCTTGTTTCATCAATGAGTTTCCGATTCGTGGTTCCTTGTGAAGACTTGGCCAGGGCCTGGAGCCAGGGTGTTGGGAGCTACATTGCACAGAGATGCCAGCAGGAGATGGTTCGGATGGAGACATGCTAGTGCTGCTAGAGCAATTTCGAGCTGCAGCTTTATCTCCAAGTTTGGATGCTGATCGGCACCAGCGTGTTCTTTCCAAAGTGCATGCTTGAAAGCAACGCATGAATGTAGACACCCCAGTGACCCACTGGAACGGCATGGAAAGTGAGTCTTCGGTGCAGATTTGGGATGGGCCAGGAGAACCATATGCATTTCTGGCTGAGTGGGTGGAGGAGTTATGTGCTCAGAGCGTTTTGTTTGTGTGGGGAGGCCATGGCGGGGGCCACTCCAATCCAAAGCCAGGTTTCGACATTGTGGCCGGCCGGGAGTCTTGGAAGGGCAGTGTTGAGGCACTAGTCTTGGAAAGGGAGAAACGATGAGAAACGTGGAGATTCTGAGGCTCTAACGTTGCTTTTATGATTGTTCATGAAACATCGGCGAGCAATTCCAGACTTTGTGAATCCGTCCTTCCTGTCCTCAAGACCAGCATGATGCAGCAATGTGTACGGTTTGCAGAATACTCAGGTCCTCTAGCTTTGGTACTCCTCATCCTGATGCAATAGAGGTGCTGGCCATTCAGTCTTTTCAAGGTTCAATGAACTCTAGACTTAAACAACTCCGTGAATGGATTATATATAATCGACCATATTCTATACAAACTAAGAAGTTTATTCGGAACTGCATCAACCAATGTTTGTTTCTGTGACAAACAGGTCATTGGGAGTGTATAACAACGGAGATTCCTGGAGTTTCCCTAGTGTCGTTGTGGAGTTCCCAGGTTCATACACACCAAGATTCAAGATCCGAATAAACTCAGTTTTTTCCTGCTTGGCAGGTTGGGTTGGTTGCCAAAGACCTTCCCTGCATCGAGCTGAGTAAACCTTGTGAAGGCACGAACTGAGACTCACATGATTCACTTGATATGTCGTGGAAGAAAAAGTTAGCGTCCTTGCTCCTAGTAGCGATGCCCTTTGTTCCTAGTAGCTTCTTGTTACTTGTAGTAAGGCCAGGAGCGCCCCTAGTAGCGTGGCCAAGGCCTAGATGCTGATGAGAAGCTGGAGCCACAGATGGCGAAACGGATTCTGAAAAAAAAAGACAGCACTCAGAGATCGACTCCTCCAAAGGATTCGAGTTGCTACTTCCTAGCGAGGGATTGTGCTGCGAAGACCTAAACCTTTTAGTAGAGTTCTTGTTCCAAGTCAGGGGTCATTAGGACAAAGTGAAGGATAAACGTCGGATCAGCGACTGAGGGTCCGGATCAGCGACCAGGATCAGCGACTGCTGGGTCAGCGACCACTTTTCCCGGATCAGCGACCAATTTTCCCGGATCAGCGACCAATTTTCTCAGATCAGCGACCAACTTTCCCGGATCAGCGACCAACAACCCCCTCCGGATCAGCGACTAGGAACTATAGCATCACTAGTGACCGATCCTGGCGATCGATCCGGGGTGATTGGCTTGGTTTGTTTTCAGAGGAGGAAGAAGAGGAGGGAGAGGAAGAAGAGGAGGGAGAGGAAGAAGAAGAGGAGGAGGGAGAGGAAGAAGAAGAGGGGGAAGAAGAAGAGGAGGAGGGAGAGGAAGAAGAAGAGGGAGAAGAAGGCGAAGAGGAGGAAGAAGAGGCGACCGATTCTGACGACCGATCCTGTGGGGTTGGTTTGGTTTCTTTTCCGTTGCCTTCCCTAGACCTCTCTGGTGACCGACCCTGGCGACCGATTGCCTGAACGACCAGAAAAAATCTAGCTAGTTGTTAGGGCTCTGTTTCCAATGCCTCTCTGTTTTCGGCGCTGTCGTAGCAAAGCGGGATCAAACTTTGCAAACTTGGCATCCACACGATGTCACTGATGTCTGCTTGGATATACACACATATAATGATTCCTCTTAGGAATTGGTTTACCTCAAACAAAAGCTTTCTGCGCAAAGAACACCAATGACCCCTGGAAATTCAGCTGTAAAGAAGACATTCTGCAGCCTCTTCACATCTTTAAGAGAAGCTCCGATGGCCACACTTACAGGCCAGGCAGGCTTGCAGACCTCTTCACCGAGTCCTTTGACCAAAGGGCCCACAACAATGCCACCGCCAAGTTGGTTGAGGCCCGCAAGAAGAAAGTTTGGCAATTCCACCTGAAGCAAAGGGAGGGCGCCATCAAAGGTGGTCCCGGCCGCGCAGCAGTCTCCAGGCGGACGCTGGCACTGGCTTGCGCAAGCAGGCTGTCCGTGCTGCTAGGGCGGAATACTTTTTCGCTACTTGAGCTACATCACAAGCAAGCGTCCCACCGACAGGGGCTTCCAGGATGGGTCAAGGAGCCGGGAGCATTGATGGGTCCTGGCGCCTGCATGGGCGCCAATTTGCTAGCCGGAGAATGGAAAGGCAGGCATGCTGGCTCGCAGGCATGGGTTGATGTTATGTGTAACTATGACCAGTCTCCTCTACACATGAAGCGCTTCAGGCGGCTCATCCAGCAGGAGAGAGTAGCTTTACTCTGAATTAGTTCCAGCTTTGCTTTCTTTGCCTGTCATTTGTTTTTATCCATAAGAACTGACAGCTTGACTGAACATGTTTTGGGGCTGCAAAACGCAATCTTTTCATCTGGCGTTTGCTTAGGACCGGCTTGCAGGCATCCAGCCCACTGTCAAGCAGAATAAGAAGTTGATCGCCGCGCTGATCAAATCGGCTGACGAGATACTCAAGTTCTCGCACTCGCAGTTGGAGTTTTGCTTGTGTGAAGTGAGTAAAATCTTTGATTTCGTACAGCCACATGGGTGTGTCCACGGGAGGCACGCGCGTCGTGTTTGATGCATGTGGCTGGTGCCACGGGGCAGTCCAGCAGGCCAGCAGGCGCAATCTTGTTAGATCAATAGCGCAGCCGTCACTGTACCCATCTGTAGCCATACAAAAAAGACATTCCCTGAGTCCAGCTTTTTTGTCTAAAATATCTTGAACTCAAGAAATGCATGTTTGATACCCACATAGTTCTTGGTAGGGGAGGAGCAGTCCAAATGTTCTTCTTTGACCGGGAGTGCATGCCCTCGGCAGGACACGTTTGTCAGAGGAATGAACTGGGCAGACCATCGTCCTGGTGCAGGCGCATCAGCCAGCCAAGTACTACTACTACTGCTGCTGCTGCTGCTACTACTACTACTACTACCACTACTACTATTATACGTTTTAAGGGTTAGGTTTTAGGGTTATGGTTACGACTACTACGGCTATTTTTATTTCTATGATTACTAGTATCACTATTATACTTTTACTTCCAATACTCTTACTACTACGATACTACCACTACTACTATTCTACGTTTTAAGGGTTAGGTTTTAGGGTTATGGTTACGACTACTACGGCTATTTCTATTTCTATGATTACTAGTATCACTATACCACCACTACTAGTATTATACGTTTTAAGGGTTAGGTTTTAGGGTTATGGTTGCGACTACTACGGCTATTTTTATTTCTATGATTACTAGTATCACTATT